GATAATAACCGAAAAATTTTCTTGGTTAAAACTAAAGGAAACACAATTGTTACTTGGAATAAAAATAAAGAATATCGAGAACTTGTGCTATGTATTAAAAATATTTAATTTAAATAAGTAAATTATGTTAATAAACCATAACACCACAAAAACCTTTTTTTAACACAAATTATATTTCAATAAATTTTCAGTAGTGAGTTATCGATATACTTAATTGTATTTACATCATAAAATGTGAAAGAAAATGTCTGATTTTTGACTTTATGCGGCATATGTTACCCGTTTTTTAAGATATATATGAATGCATATGTTTTGTCTTTAGTATATATCTGTCCGTCTCTAGTCTAATAAATTTTCTAAAAAAATATAGTAAGTTTTGAGAAAACGCATTTAAAAGCATTTTCCTTTGTATTATTAGTAACAAAAGCGAGCACATAAAACCGTAAAAAAAATTTCCAATGTGTTATTTACATTTATTTTACTTCATACTGTGTCAAATTTCACGTTTTACTGGATTCGAAGGAGTCCGGTAAAATAAAAAAAAAACGGACAAGTCCGGTAAAATTGAGCTAAAAAGAACAAGTCCTGTAAAGTGTTACTATGTGTTTAAACACCATTTTTGATGCTGATTTGCACGAATAAACAAATTAAAACATTTACCAAACAGCGGTTGCTGACGATGTCAGAAAAAGTGACTCGATTTGAACTTTTTCTCAAAATAGTAATTATTTTATCGAATAAAAAATATGTTGATAGTATGAAATAAAATCCATAACGACATACGTCCGGTAACTCTTTTCGCAGTACTCGTTTCGAAATTAAAGACTCGGCTCCCTACAGTCGCCTCGTCCTGAAACATCTCACTCGTCCTGTAAAATTTGAGTTACCGGACCGTATTTATAATAATGTTAGCACTAACAAGTATTTAAAATAACAAGTAATAATTTGTTTGTTTTATTTATTTTTATTCATTATAATAATCCCATTTCTTTATCAGAAACTTTTAAGTAGGTTTTATTTCGTTTAAAATAAAACCTACTTGGCTAGAAATAACGGCAAACTTGTGTTAGGCTCATCTGGCAACGTTGTAAATTATCTAAATGCTGACTATGAGATTTTTACACATTTTTTTCGTCGCCCTCTATCGAGTGGTAGATTTATTAAATGTATTGTTGGTGTGATTTGTGTTACCTATGCGCGTGATTGGTGTCCAAGCTTTTCGCCGGCGTTTGACGGCCGACTGTTGGTGCGCCATCTCTTGTTCGCCGGCCGTTGGCCTGTTCGCTCCAAACAATAGCATGGGTCTATCTATATGTATTTAATCAATGGTTGTGATAAACACGTGTTTTTGTGAACAAAATTAAAAATGGAAAAAAAATGCTTTTTATGTGGATTGAAAAATTCTGTTATTGATTTTAATGACAGAACATTTGATCATTGCTATTTAAAATTAGCATACCGACGATCTAAAGGCTTAAAGGCTTTAAGTACGAGGAGTTACAATTAAACAGAGATTTTAAAAATTGATGATATTTTGCAAATATCGGAGAATGCAAATGAAGAAGCTTCTTCCGACTTAGAAGACGGCGATATAACTTCCGGAGATTCCGATTCGGAATAATTTACAATTATGACTTTGGCATTTAATGTCTTTTTTATGTAAATATTGTTTGATAATAAAGATTTATAATTTTCAAACTATACACGTGTTAGTAAATTTATTTAATTTTTTTTTTTTTTATTTTGAGAACGTTTTTTTATTACGCTTTTCTTATTTATTTTATTACACTCCAAAATGATCCTCTATACTATAGTATACTATTTTTTTCCTTGTCTATACTACGAATAGGAAGCATGCGCACTCTATTATATTCTACCGGCCAGTAGCGCGCAGCTGCTATACTACGTCCTCCTTTATCGCATGGTACAGTACGAGCAACGCTTCTCTGTCACACATATTTACATGCTCCAATTTTTGCAACTTCAAAGCCTAGCTACCGTAATCTATTAACAGATTTTCTTGAGCAACTTTATACTACTCTACTCGCAATAAATTTACCTACATTTTGATATATAAATATCGTGGTAAGCAGATGAGCGCAATTACTAATATCAATTTACCTGTTTGCACGCGGCTAACAGATAAAAGGGAACAGAAAAAGGTAGGCAACCGATCGACTGCATGTAGCAGATGTTGTATACTTTCAATTAGACCATGAGTCATTTGGCAAACAAGACAGTCAAATTTGAAAAAATAGTACTTTTTTATAATTTTAATTAATCATAGCCATGAACATTTTTTTTATGGCAACCTTATTGATACACGTTCACAAACATATTTTATTTTTTAAAATATAATTTTCACCTGGTTATCAAATCGGTGAAGGTCGTTCTTACTTAGGATCCTCTACTATAATCTATGTTTCAAAATAAAAAGTTTTTGAAGTTGGTGGGTATTGAGGTTTGTTACGAACGCGAAAAAAATTTTGTATGCAACTCGTGAGTAAAGTGGCTTTTTTTACTTGGCGGATTTGCGCACTCGCCTTCGGCTCGTGCGGCAAATTTTCCTTCTCGTAAAAACAAGTTACACTACTCACTAGTTGCATAAATAACTATAAGTGTTGTTTAAATATTACCATAAATTCATTGACTAATTAAAATATAAAATTAAAGACATGGTTCATTCATGTTGTGCTTACAACTGTACCCAAAGGTACAAAAAAGGAAGTGGCATCTCATTTCATTTCATTCGTGAGTGTTGTATTTAAAGGTGATCCAAGTCCAACCAGATTTTTAAATGGAAAATATTTTTTCAGATTTCCGAAAGATGAAAATTTAAGGAACCAATGGATTCCTGCTATGAAAATAGATAAATTTGTGCTCACGGCAAGTTCAAAATTATGTACCAACCATTTAAAAAAAAAACAGATTTTGAATACAATTTTGGAAAGTTATCACTTGTTGAAGACTGTGTTCCCTCAATTTTTGATTTTTCTCCGCATTTAAGGAAACCAGAAACTAAACTGCGAAAACGAATACAGATTATAAAGCAAGAATGTAAAGATTTACAAACAGCGGTGCTTGATAATTGTCCTTCGACTTCTACAGGTACAGACGTGAATGTAGAAGAGGCTGAAAATGTTACGTCCATGGGTTCCCAGGCAACATGATGTCGTCTTTTTCCAGTGAGTAAATGGTCATCATTTACGTCATAGTGACCAAAGATTTCACGTGATATTGACGTAACAATGACGGTCAAATGTCTCGTCCAGATGACGTCATTTTCTAACGAACTATTGACATCCTTGTATTGACGTGATGTACTGACGTCCTAGAGACGGCATTTATTGTCCATTTTAAGACGTTTTTTATATTTTGATTTTTAGAAAAAAATATATAATAAAACGCTGAAATAATTTTATATTTTTATATTGTTTACCTTAAATAAAATATTATAATTCGTTATAATCACCAGGTAAACCCCAAAACAAAGTATATATTAATTAAAGTTAAAACAAATTAGTGAAAAAAAAAAAAATTACTACAATTCTGTACAACCAACAATGAACTTCAATAAATAAATAAAAAAATATATGTCAATTAAACAAATTAAAGATAAACCACTCCTACGAACACAAACAAATCTAAATACAGGCAATTACGAGTATAATTAGTATAAACAAAAAAAAAAGGATAATGTACAATCTACAGGGTCATCAAAATTGATTGAGAGAGTTGGTAAATCTGAACTTGAATAATTTGGTTTATTAAGTTGTATAAAAATATTAGCTGCTAGATTTGAAGCTTCAAGTTTCAAATTTCAAAACTCAGTGGCGTCCTTTTTCGTTTTTTTTTTTTTTTTTGTAAAAAATATTAGTTGTCAGATTTGCAGTTTCGAATTTTAGATTTGTTCGCAAAGATGCGAATAGCAATAAGGCATAGGGTACGCATCGACCAAGGCGATTCGTACAAACGTTAAAACCGTTCGCAACTTTGCAAGAAGGTAACTTTCGTATCCGCAACTGATTCAGGTGAGTTCGAGTATCAACCCCCAGTTCTTTTGACACGCCACTGAATTCATTGCCACATAACCTTATAAAGTTAGGTACTTGATTTGAAAATGCACTGTAAAACCACAGTATATGTAAAACTATCTAATTCACGACGACTTGACTGTTCCCAACACACAAAAAAGTACCGTTAAGAATTAATTCTGTTTTAACAATCATATCAATAACCTAAGTTTTTTAAGTTTGCCTCAATTTATTGCACTGAAAAGAAAAACCCGTTAGAGTGCATGGATTAATGGAAATGCAATCATTTTTTCGTATATAGCAAGCATTTGGCTATTATTAAATTTAAGGGATTACAGCTTAAAGCAGAAGACAAACTCTGCATTTTAAAAATGCTAAATTTACTTGAATCTAACGGATGATCGTTGTCAATACTTTTTACAACGAAGCGAAATGTGCCATGTATATAAGTTACCAAAAAGTGTCGTAGTATTACAGGCATCTACCTGTATATAATATCCAATATTATGTTATATATAAATTCGTTGTATTTTTTTAACTTACAAAGAAATCTGCTTGTTCTAATATGCAAAGATAATCTTGTAATTCATCAAAATTTGTTTAGGTGTGGTCTTGGTGGCATAACTTCTATTTTTCTTTTCTTTTTCAGTTGTCAGATTTGATGACGTTTCCATGTTGGAGATTTTTTCACTCGTTTTTTTTAGCATTTCTTTCGTTTCGCACATGTGTTTGTATTTGTTTCAAATCTAGAATAAAATTATGTTCATTAGCATTAGTTCATAAAAATTGCAGTAACATACCTTTGCAATATTTTATAGCGCCTCATTTTCAAAAACAATCACCGTAAGTTTTTCATAATTAGTGGGAATATCTTCAGTGGTTAATGGTGGCCTTTTCAGCTTATCTGAAAAAACTGCTTTTGTTATCTACGTACAGTTATAAAAAATAACAGAAACACGTAAAAATTAAAATAATTACTGTTCGAACAGTAAGTGCTCCATTCCGGCGCACGCGCGAGTGAGCGGAAGTAGTACGCTACTGAACGTAAAAGGTGCATGAGTAAACGGTTTTTCCTCTCGCGTGTTCCTCGTTGTACTTCTCAACATCAGGCTACCAAGAACCAGGGGCCCCTGTCACCGCCAGCAGGATACTCCAGGTTAGTGGTACTTCTCAGTTATTCTCGGTCCTTCGCGCAAAAGTTAAGTCACGGCACCCCGCGTGCACATTTGGTCCTTCGAGCCGGATCATAACCTCAAATTTGTCGGTTTATCGGTTTCTCGATCGACGCTTTATCGCGTATCGCCGCAATGACTAACGAAGAATTGTTGCAATCTCAAATTAAGAAGCTCGCCGTACTGAAATCTACACGGGAAAAGTTATTTGCTCAAGTTCAAAACTGTTATGACTCCATGAAGAGAACCACCGTTGATACAGCTCTTCAGTTCAAGCCTCGGTACGAAAAACTAGAGGTTATTGAGATAGAAATGGATAAGACTCAGAATGCAATTATTCAGCTAAATGCAGATTTATTGGATAATCGCCATGCTCTCGAAGTCTGTAAGGTGCAAACAGCTTTCGATGATTTAGTATTTAACACACGTGGTCGTTATTTAGACCTGGTGAAGACACAACCTCCGCAGCAAACCAGCAGTAATTCGGTCGCCAACAGCAACCAGCATTTGCCCAGAATAAATATCCCTACGTTCACCGGTCGCATCGAAGAGTGGTCGGCGTTTTTCTCACTGTTCGATTCGGTTGTCCACAAAAACGATGCGTTATCAGAAGCTGAAAAATTCCAGTATTTGCGCTCTTATCTGCGAGATGACGCATTAACAGTCATTGCCAATTTTCATTTAACCCCCGAAAATTACGCACTGGCGTATGAGGCATTGCAACTTCGCTACTAGAATAAAAGACGGTTGGCGACTCACTACGTCAATCAAATTCTAGGTTTTACTCCTTTATCATCCCCAAGTTCTAGCAGTTTGAGACATTTTTTGAATATTCATTCGAATTCCATTAATGCTCTTAAGGCTTTGAATCTTCAAGACCTTGGTGATTTTTTGCTGTTTCAATTATCGTTTGCAAATTTGGATCCTGTATCTAGAAAAGCTTTTGAGAATAGGCAAAGTTCAAATTCCGTTCCCAGCTATCAGGCGTTAATTGATTTCATAACGGATCAGAATCGAACGTACGAACTTCTCTCTCAGGACACCAAATCACCGAAATGTAAATCTCTATCAGTTAAGTCATTCCGTGCTTCACTCATGACAAATGCCAAATCCGATGCCTCCTCTACGTGCTGTGTCCCGTGCGTGCTCTGCAAAGGTTCACATCCCTTTCCGGCATGCAGCGAATTTCTCCAGAAAACAAATGAACAGAAATATGATACGTTGAAGAGATTGAGACGATGTTTCAACTGTTTGGGTGCTCATAATCGAAATGAATGTCAATCTCGTAAAACTTGTCGTATTTGTCACAGCAACAAGCATCACTCCGTGTTACACCAGGAGTCCAAGGTGGATACCTCCGAAACTAGTACTTCTCCCTCTGTAGAGGAAAGAAAATCTCCCGTTGTGTTTTCGTGCAAGACCTCAGCGGAGCGCAACACTGTTTTACTAGCGACTGTGACAGCCCAGATCCAAGACTGTAATGGAGATTATCACAAGATAAGAGCTGTGGTTGATCCCGGCTCTCAAGTATCAGTGATTACTTCATCAACGGCGCAACATTTGGGATTAAAAAGAAGCAGATCTCCCATTGAAGTTACTGGCATTGCCAGTTTTCCTGTCCGAACTCAAGGTCTCATTCGTACCACTCTACGCTCTAGAACTCGTGCTGATGTCGTAAACGTTCACGCTGTTGTACTTTCGTATATTCCTAATAAATTTCCTAGTCAGACGTTACCTTCTCACATTAAGGATCAGTTCAGTCATCTAACGTTAGCTGATGAAAACTTCCATCAAGCTGCTCGAGTTGAATTCTTAATTGGAGCAGATCTATATCCTCACATTTTATGTAATACGCAGCCTAATGTTATTCAAGGACAACCCTCTGCCATTGACACAATCTTTGGATGGATAATTATAGGCTCGATTTCATCTTCAACAAATTCCCCCTTGTGTTCTCTTCTCACATGCAACGATTCTCTTGATGATACCGTTCGTAAGTTTTGGGAAACTGAGACTCTCGCTGATAACCTTTCAGTCTCCAATCCTGAAGATGACTTTTGTCAAGCTCATTTCAAGGACACGCACTATCGCGATCGCTCAGGCAGATATGTGGTATCAATGCCAGTCCGTGAGCAGCGCTCGCCGCTTCTGAGCAACCGAGAGACAACTCTGAACACTTATCTCAAAATAGAAGCTCGAATGACCAGGCGTCCCCAACTCAACGCTGCTTATATTACTTTTCTCCAAGAATACCGCGATCTCGGACATATGCAACTAGCCGCACAACCTTCCATGTACGTAATGCCTCATCATTGTGTTCAAAAGGAAACTAGTTCAACTACCAAAGTGCGAGTTGTGTTTAACGGATCCTCCCCTGACTCAAACGGGACAACGCTTAATCAGCAACTTCTGCTCGGTCCTAAGCTACAAAAGGATTTGAGCCACATTCTCATGAATTTTCGCCTTCATGCTATAGCAGTCACAGCGGATATTCAACAGATGTATAGACAGATTTGGTTGAATCCAAAGCAACGTTATCTCCAGCACATATTCTGGAGGCCAGATCCCGCTTCTAATGTGCAGGAGTATGAGTTAAAAACAGTGACATATGGTTTAGCACCATCAGCATATCTTGCTCAACGTGTCCTTCTCCAGCTCGTCGAGGACGAAGGGCATGAGTTCCCATTGGCAGTACAAGCTATCACAGAAAGCACCTATGTGGACGATATTGCGCATGGTGCCTCTACAGTTGAGGAAGCGAAGTCGCTACAGTTACAACTCGCAAACCTACTCAATCGTGGCGGTTTCCAGCTGAGAAAATGGGCTAGTAATGATCCAATTGCTCTAGATCATGTTCCAGAACAGCATCGTGAATCTCCGTTGAATTTCTCAAGTGACGATCCTTCTATTAAGATTCTTGGATTACGGTGGGATCCTCGGTCTGATACTTTCACCTATTATGTACAAGAATTTGATTCTCAAGTTACCAAGCGCACTGTTCTTTCTTATATCGCTCGAATCTTTGATCCCATGGGGTGGTTATCTCCAATTGTATTTTGGGTTAAGCATTTTCTGCAACAGATATGGATCTCTAAAGTGGGCTATGATGATATCCTGCCGCCTTCCCTATCGGAGGCTTGGGGAAGGTTTTCTTCTCAAATGCGGTGTCTACGCGCACTTAAAATTCCTCGATACATTCTCCAAAGTTTGCCACGTTTGCTCTTGGTGGGATTCTCGGACGCTTCCTCTAAAGGATACTCCGCTTGCATCTATTTACATGCGTATGATTCCAGTAGCACTTGTAGCAATTATCTTTTGAAGGCCAAGAACAAAGTGGCACCCCTCAAGACATTGACTATTCCTCGATTGGAACTCTGTGGAGCGTTGTTATTATCTAGACTACTTCGTGATGTGATTAAATCTCTTAAAGCCGTAAGATTTGAAAATGTTCATCTCTATACCGATTCTCAGATTATCCTTGCATGGCTCCACACCTCTCCTCATCTTCTCAAAACCTACGTGGCCAATCGTGTAGTTCGCATATTAGAGCATACATCTCTTCACCAATGGGCACACACAGTGTCGAATCAAAATTCAGCCGACTTTGCGTCTCGAGGATTATTTCCCGAAGAGATCATGGATTGTCATTCCTGGTGGAATGGACCAGATTTTATGCAGAATCCGCCGTCCAAGTGGCCCGTAAGAGGCGATAATTATGTCGCACCCGAAGAGCTCCCTGAGCGTAAAAACGATCCTATAGTTTTGCGCATCCAAGCCGACCCAGAAAATCCTCTGTATGAAGTTGTGTCACGATTTTCTTCATTTAGTAGACTACAACGCGCTTTCGCATTTATTCGCCGATGGCTACTCCGAATAAGATGTCCCGAGATGAAGGGTCCACTCTCAAGCGAAGAGATGCGATACTCGACCTTATCGCTTGTGCGTCTCATACAGCAAAACCATTTTCCTCTGCTTATAGAAGAGTTGCGTTCCAAAGGTCACACCACAACTCCATTAAGGAAGCTGTTCCCATTCTTGGATGCAATGGGTATAGTTAGGGTGGGCGGACGGCTACGACACTCCGCCCTTCCCCTAGATGCGAAACACCCTCTGCTTTTACCTCAGAAAGCTCATCTCTCGGCTTTAATTTGCGACTACTATCATCTGTACGCTTGCCACGCTGGACCTAGAAGCGTGCAGACGCTTATACAGCAGAAGTTCTGGATAATATCGATTCGATCCCTCCTACGGCAGCGCATTTTTCGCTGCATTCGCTGTTTTAAGTTTAAATCGAAACCTGTATTTCCCTTCATGGCTGATCTACCACCAGCTCGAGTTCAACCTAGCAAACCGTTTTCCTCTGTTGGCATTGACTTTGCCGGACCCTTCACGGTCAGGGAAAGTCGTCGACGTAAGGCCCACACATACAAAGGGTATCTCTGTTTATTCATATGTATGTCTACGAAAGCGGTCCATTTAGAAATGGTCTCGGAACTCTCCACAAAAGCCTTTTTAGCCTCGCTCAACAGATTCACCGCACGCCGTGGTCTACCCTCTGACATATACTCTGATTGCGGACGTAACTTTCTCGGCGCCGCTCGACACCTGAGGGAGGTGAGTCAGTTTCTACGTTCGCACTCCTCTGAGATAACGAGTTCCTTAACCTCTTTGGAGATAAAATGGCATTTTAACCCTCCAGCCGCCCCCAATTTTGGCGGTCTATGGGAGGCTGCGATCAAATCCGCAAAGAGTCTCTTGTATCGATCAATCGGCACCTCTCTCTTAACTTTCGAAGAGTACAGCACGCTATTTTGTAAGATTGAGGCTGTATTGAACAGCCGTCCCTTATGTGCCGTCACCTCTAACCCAGAAGACGCTGTAGATTACCTAAGCCCTGGACATTTCTTAGTCGGCAGACCGTTATTGCAACCTCCTGAAGCTCCCTTGGAGGACAACTTGAATTGGACCTGTCGGTGGCAACTACTCTCCCAGCTGTATCAGCGGTTCTGGAAGAGGTGGTCTACGGAGTATCTCCATACTCAACTCCAACGTCAGAAGTGGAATAAGGATCAACCAAACATTCAACCCGGCGCCATTGTCGCATTGTATGGCGCAGAAACTACCCCCCTTTCATGGCCGTTAGGACGCGTACAAGAGGTACATCCTGGAACCGATGGAGTCGTCCGTGTGGCCACAGTGAAAACCTCGACCGGTTTATATACGCGTCCGGTAAACAAGCTCGTGATTCTCCCAACCCAATTCTCAATGGAGAATTGAGTGAGCTCTCATAATGTGCATAAAGAACTCTCTTTAATTTTCGTTTAATTTTTCGTTAAATTTTGTTAAAATTGGTGGGCGGTTATGTTCGAACAGTAAGTGCTCCATTCCGGCGCACGCGCGAGTGAGCGGAAGTAGTACGCTACTGAACGTAAAAGGTGCATGAGTAAACGGTTTTTCCTCTCGCGTGTTCCTCGTTGTACTTCTCAACATCAGGCTACCAAGAACCAGGGGCCCCTGTCACCGCCAGCAGGATACTCCAGGTTAGTGGTACTTCTCAGTTATTCTCGGTCCTTCGCGCAAAAGTTAAGTCACGGCACCCCGCGTGCACAATTACTTTATTAGATATTAACTTACCTAGTATAAATAAGTACAACCCACACTGAATGGCAGAAATTTTCACAAAACTGCATTAAAAATAAAGTGAATAACAGATACACGAGAAAATTTCGGTGGTTGAGAACCAACTGGAAATATTGGAATGCTTCACACTGAAGTGCAATAAACATAAATACCGAAAAAAGGGAAAGTCCGCATGCACACCCCAAACATCTGATGTATTGTATAGTAAATACGGAAGTTGAGCATTATTTTTTCATTATATGAAATAAATTTAATAAAACTGAATATTAATCACTCTCTAATTTTTTTGGTAACCATCATGACTTTACAAACGTCTTTATAAAATCAAAATTCGATGAAGGAGGTCTTCAAAACCTTGTCCCGTTTTAGGTACAATGGACAAAGAATTTTTATGACTTTGTTTGTGTCGTTGGGTATTTTCGCTCAACCCCAGATGTTCTATTTATAATATGCCAAGCAGGTATGTACTTACAAAATAACACTTCCAGAGTAAACAAATTTTCAGAAATAATTATTTTATTAGAATGAAAAAACTTGTCTTTGGTGTATTTCTAATAAAGCCGTTGTATTTTTTGCTCTAAATATAATTAAGCATTATGAAGGCCACTTTTTAAAGAATACGACGACCTACATCTAATTGATCATATAATCTATAAAAAATGACGAAGAAAGGACGGTCTTTTGACGTCAGAAGTAAGTCATTATCACGTGATTTTTGGGCGAATGACGTCGCCGACGAGTTATGACCAAAAATTGACGTGAATTAGACGACAGTCTGCTGCTTGGGTTAATGTCAAGTGACAGATTACCTGTTAGGCAATAAACTTTAAAAAGAAGACCAATTTATTTTGGGGATTTTAAAGAACATGACTTGGAAGTGCCACAGAAGGTTCGAAAAACGTGGAATATTGCTAAATTAACAATAGACAGACAAAAACGAACCATAAAATTTTTAGGGAATAGGACGCATAGACTTAAAAACAGAATAAAATCCGTTGAAGACGTCATTCACCATCTGAAAGATTCTAAGCAAATTTCTGACAATTGTTATCCCGTTTTACAGGTTTGGTGTTTGTGCATACCCATTACATATATATATTTTTTTTTTTTAGTAAATTAGGGGATATATGAATGCTAATATAATGAACAAATAAATTTGACACAGTTTATTAGCTGTTTGGAGAAATTGAAGCCACTTTTCTAATTTTCCTTGTGGCCAAATTATAATTTAGTTTTTTAAAGAATTTGTATGACCACAGCTGGTTTTTATAATTGTAAATTTATATACCTACCTAAATCAAGAATGTATCTACTATTGGAGTATAGTTCAATTCTTCCTTATCTCTTGCCTTTTTTTATTTGTCTATAACTTTTGGGAACATCAGGATTTATATTTATTTCAGAATACGAGGAATTTCTTTTACTAGCTGCTTTACGCATAACAAATTATAATTTTCAGGATTGTGTGCCCGTTACTTAAGCCGGAATTCCACTGAGGCAACACTGAACGACATGTTGCTTGATACGTGTTGCCTGTTGTAGCACAGTATAGAGATCAATTGATATCTATACTGTGTTTGTAGGCGTGCGACAATGTGGCATAAAATTCAAATTAATGTCGCTGTGTGTTCCTTCAATGGAAAGACTGTTTGTAGCATGCGTCAATGCCGCATGCTACATGTTGCCTCAGTGGAATTCCGGTTTTAGAAATATGAAAATTTCGACGCCAACGGAATATCCCGAAGAACTGGGAATATTCGCTTTAACGTTAAATTTTTATTCAAGTTCGGCCTATGACTATGTTCGTAAAACATTTGCAAATTGCCTTCCACATACTAAAACGTTGCAGAAATGGTACAAGTCGGTGGATGGTTCTCCAGAGTACACTAGGGAGTCACTTCATGCCATTGAAATTAAGGTAAAAGAATGTAGAAAAGAATACAAGGTCCTTGTTTGCTGTTTGATGATGGACGAATGGCTATCAGGCAGCATATTCAATGAAATGGTAAACGTTAAGTGGGTTACATAAATTACGGAACAGAAATGCCTGGAGACACATTACTTGAAGCAAAAGATGCACTTGTTTTTCTAGTGGTGGCACAAAAATGCAGGTGGAAGATTCCAGTTGGATATTTCTTAACGAATGGTTTAAACACAGAAGAAAAAGCAAATTGGGTTAAAGGATGTCTAATAATGATGAATAATATTGGAGTGGCAGCAACATCTTAACTTTCAATGCTGCTAATCTAGTAACACATTTTTCGCATCGTACAACGGAGAATCCGATTTTTATCATGTCTGATGTCTATCATATGATAAAATGAATTAGAAATACTTTCTTTTCGTATTATAGAACACGTATACTCGAACTCGGTGTCGACGACGCCGACACCGGTCTGGACTGAGTCTGAACATAGGCATGTAACGCTGCGCAATAGAAAGAGAGAAACATAAACTATTTAATAAAAGGTGTTCGTTTGACTGATCCAACGACTAAATTAGGTACAACAATTGATGCCGTTTTCACACGCTTTATTACTCATTTAAGAACTGATATGATATTTATATCACTCATTTTAGTCACCATAGGCCACTAATAATTGTATTAAATGGTAGGGATAAAGATACCGAAGGCTATGATTGAACAGTAATTTGTATTTTAAATCGAATAAGTTATAAATACTACTCTAGCACTTGTAAATATTTACTTGTTACTTTAGTTCTTAAATTACACATTGTACTTTATTTTTTTTTTATACAATATTATTATAATCATTAATTATGATATTTCTATACCTATGATAAATAAATAAAAAAAAGTATATTTTATAATAAACAACAATTGACAACATTTACTTTAATTAACCCAACTATCATCATTAATCATCATTTTGTCAAAAAATACAAATGCGACATATTTTTGGTTTTTATTATTTTTCAAGAGAAAATTAATGACTTCGCCGCGTATACGTGTTTAATTTATATAAATTGACGACGCAGAGTTAAAACTTCATCATCCGTGCGTCCCTACGTCGACGTACTCTTTTTTTTATCAATTGGTTGAATTACAAGAAAATGCTGGTGTGCATGCTGCTACAAAATTAAGAAGACGCCATTTGAATTACAAAAAATTGGTCGAAATTTTCGAGTCAGTTTTACTTTACAATCTCAAAGTTTTCTTATCTATTAGTACCCTTCGAGATTGTGAAATCTTGCAGCACAATTTGGATCTGTTAACTTCGTGGACCATAAAAAACCGGTTATTCTTAAACAAAGACAAGTGTTTTATTATTACTTATTTCAGAAAACTAACCAACATAGTTTATGAATAGTCTATTGAAGAATTTAATTTGGTTAGACAGGATGCGTATAAGGACTTAGGCGTTGTTTTTGATAGTAAATTTTTCTTCAAAAATCATATTATTGTGGAGTGTACGACTAGAGCGTATAATATGTTTGGGTTTATTTATAGAAACTGTTCTCGAACGTTCAATCGTTGCTTACGTTGTATTACTCATTTATACGTTCTAGACTTCAGTATGCCGCTGTTATCTGGTTTCCTATATATTCTATTTACATTCAATTACTGGAGTCAGTTCAACGCGTTTCTCAAATTTGTAGTATTTCTAGTTGATGGGACTTAACCTCCTCGCGGATATAATCATGGCGTTTTACTAAGCAAATTTAACTGCAAGTTACTTAGTACTAGACGGGTAATTTTAGGTGTAAAACTTATTCACAGCTTAATTAATAATATAACTGACTGTACTTATCTGTTCAATAAAATTGTATTCTTAGTTCCTCGGTTAAATGCTCGAAGTTACCATACGTTCTATTATAGTACTAGCAGAACAAATGTTATGAATAGATCACCACTTGTTTTAATGTGTAGTAATTTTAACTTAATTAGTGATTTATGTGACATTAATAATGATCCTTTTAGTTACATATTAAATGCTTTAATTTCTTATTTAGAGAATTGGGGAGTATTGTTTTATTTATATTCTGGCCTCTTTATTATAAATTCAGCATTGCATTTTTTTTCCTTATTCTTAGTGTTACAGTTTGTACCATTATGCCTACATTGTTTTTCTTTTTGTTTCCTGTAATTGGGTGCTTACCCGTTGGAAATAAACATTATTATTATTATTATTAATATTATTTACACAATTTTGTGACGACGTGATCAACATTTTTGCACGGACTTGGCTTGAATACTAAAAATAACAGTACTGTATTCCCAAAATTTTGTGGGAAAATAGAGTGAACAGTTTCTGATGTAATCAAGAAAATAAATTGACTAATTCATTAATTTTTTTGAGCTACTTATATAAACAATCTAAAAAATATGAACGCAATTATAAATCACAAGTAAAAACTCATCATATCTTGCACATTTTTGGTAGAATGTATTCGGCAAAATTTTCAGATGACGTCATCAATTTTTTTGGGGGACAAACAGATACATTTTGATTAAAAAATTACCATGCCTACAATAACTTTAAAACGTCTGCAAGATTGCAAAGTATTCAGTTTCGCAATTCTTGATTTATTCAATAAAATAAATTCACGCAATCATTAATTTTTTTGAGTATCCTGTATAAGCAAATCCAAAAAATATGAGGATTTATTCGGCAAAATTTTGAGATAACGTCATCATTTTTTTGGGGCTGATAAATATATAAATTTTTTGTACATTTAAGATGGGATTTATGCGGCCAAATTTTGAAGTGACGTGATCAATTTTTTGGGGGGATAAGCAAATACGTTTTAATTAAAAATTTACCATGCGCTTGATAACTTTAAAACATCTCCAATATTTCAAAGCATTCGGTTTTGCAGTTCCTGATTAAGTAAATAAAATATGATTAATTTTTTTGAGTCACCCTGCATAAGCAAATCTAAAAAATACCAATGCAGTGATCAATTACAAGTATTGACTGATCATAGTTTGCACATTTTAGACAGGATATATTCGGCAAAATTTTGAGATCACGTCATCAATTTTTGGGGGTTGATAAACAGATACATTTTGATCAAAAATTTACCATGATTTTTATAACTTTAAAATTATTTCCAAGATTTCAAAGCATTCGGGTTTGTAGTTCCTGATTAAATTAAATTAAAATAAATTAACGCATTCATTATATTTTTTGAGTTACCCTGTATATGCAAATCCAAAAAATATGAAAGGAATGATAAATTACAAGGTGAGACTCATCATATTTTGTACAATTTAGACAAGATTAATTCGGCAAAATTTTGAGCTGACGTCATCAATTTTTTGGAGGAGGTAAGTAAATATATTTTGATTAAACATTTATCATGCTTATCATAAGTTTAAAATATCTGGAAGATTTCAAAGCATTCGGCTTACCAGATTTAAAATTAACTTGCAAAATGTTGCTTTATAATTGTGTTTTTTTTTTCAAAAATTTGGACGTTCCGGGTAAAAACTCAATACGGAATCATAAACCACATGTTTAGGACTATGATTTCATACAATTTAAAACTCATTTACTATGTATCATTTTGAAGTGACGTCATCACATTATTGGTGAAGATGTTTAGACAAATTTTGGTTAGCGTTTTACCATCTAAATGATATTCCTAATATAAGTACAAAATTTGACAACAATCGACCCAGTACTTTCGGAGATTGTCTGTCTAATAAAAATCGGGACGACAGACAGACGGAAGCGGGAGACCGAAGACTCTAGGGGTCACGAAAGGTTGAGAAAACTTAAAAGTAGAGAGTCGGCCGACGGACTCGATTACAATACCTCCTTCGCTTACGCTCGGGAAGTAAAAATAATAAAATTCGCAAAATCAACTTTTTCAATTTTCTGAAAAAGCTGGATGTTTTTTGTATTTTAGAGGTGAGGGAAGTTCTGTCGACATAACCTTCGATCAGAAAATTCTAGAAAATTCTACTGTGGATCATGAAAATTTGGTGACAGGCAACGTGAATAGCGTAAATTTCTGGATACCTGTGAATGTATATCGACTTCCTCGAAAATAGGTGGTTTTAAACTACATTTACTGATTACAAAATTTGCTCTCTTCCAACAGCACATTCGGGGCAATAATTTAAAAATATTCACATTAATAAAAGCAAAAACTTAGAAACTAATACTTGCAACATTGTAAAATATTGACAATATTACCAGAGAACATAATATTACCATGATGGAGAGATGAATATACACGTTTGGGAAAAGTCATTAAAAATACATTTTAACAATAAAATGTTTTACCAGAAGCATAAAATTGTCACATCAATAAACAGGAAACAAAGGGTCAATCTCTTTGGAGTATGCATAAAGGCCACCTTTAACATTAAAAAACTTCACAGACGTATCTGGGAAATTCTTTTGTAAAAAATCAACAGATCTCTGAGAGTCATTTCCTCGTCTGCACAACATATACACTAAAAAAAAGTCAAAATAATGATGCAATAAAAATTAACAAAATTCAATAAACAATTATTACCATGTCTATATGTATCAGGATCTTTCTTAATCAATTCTTGCAAATTTGCTATACCCTTATCAGTTGTGATTATAGAATAAGGCAAATTGATAGTCCCTGGTATATTACACATAGAATACTCCAATTCAGGTCGTACATCTATAACAACATATTTTTCTTTTAAAATATGTGGCAGCTTCTGTATGTCTATATTATTTGCATGTTCAAGAATATCCACATCAATAACCTAAAACGTTACATTTGTTTCTCGTTCATATTAATATAATATATAATGCATACTTTATCATTTGCCTTGGAACCACAAAAATGCTCATAATCAACAGGTGAAGTAATTGTTGGATTTTCACCACAGACATCACAATTAGTCATCTTTTGACGTAATCTCACATTACGAAAAGTTGTTTCTACTCCATCAAACAATAACATCCTTCCAGATAACACTCCATCGACGTTTAAAATAATTTTTATAGCTTCCAAAGCTTGCAATACTCCAATGATTCCAGCCACGGGTCCGAGAACTCCACCATCTCCACAGTTAGTTACAGTATGAGTTGGTGGTGGTATTGGGAATAAACAACGATAGCAAGGTCCGTTCTTGTAATGATACACTGTTAATTGACCCTCCATTTGTAACGCACTACCTGATACCAGAGGAATGTTGTGAAAAACACAAACATCATTTAATAGATATCGAGTAGGAGCATTATCACTGCAGTCAAGAATTACATTGTATTTATATTTTTGTATAATTTCAACAATTGAAGCGGAAGCGTGAATGTGCAGTGGCACTACTAATATATTACTGTTTAAGCTGAAAATGTTAATATTTGAAAGTATATATTCCACAAGGCACATACTTATTTACAGGTTATTTGAACACAGTAATACCATATGAAATTTACCTGTTCAATTTATTGTACACCGAATCAACCTTGGGTCGCCCCACATCTTCCTCAAAATGTAATACTTGTCTGTGCAGATTTGATAATTCTACATCATCATAATCAGCAATATGAATTTCCCCTACAAATATCAAAATCTTAGAAAATAAGCTTCATTGATTTCAAGTCCAGTTACCAACACCAGCTGATGCAAGGTACAATGAGGCTGGACAGCCGAGACCACCTGCCCCAATAATTAAAATTCTACTTTTCTTGAGAATCACTTGGCCTAGCTTTGAAACTTGCGGCATTATCATCTGCCGACTATATTTAACTACTTCTTGTGTAGATAAATAATCAGAATATGGGCATTTCCATTCATTCTGTAAACAAATATTTGTATAAAAAAATTTAGACATACATAACCTAACATTTGTTTTAAGTTGGTGAAGTAATGCTTTTTTGGTGCGGAGAATATCTTCTAACTTTATAATTTCTTGTTCTAGATCTTTGATTTCAGTAATCGACATTTCAACAACTTAAACAGGGTGTATTGCCGTTCTTCACTTTTTCATAGATGTTCATAGACGACGAATCACAGCGACAAATCACAGATTCACAGAACACGACAAATCATAGAAGCGAAAAATCATGTACAGCGCGGTCGTAGAAAACTGGACCACTTTGCCTAGTTTTTATTTATTTTTTAATACAATAGCAGTTTAAATGTACGCCCCCGATATGAAAAACGGGACAGTGATTTCGAGTTTGAAAAATTGTTTAATTTGTCAAACAAAACATGAATTAAACTCTAATAAAAGTTTTAAAATTTGGAAGTTAGTGATCCAGTTTTCTGCGGTCGCCACTGTACATCTAAACTTCTTTTTGCAGCTTGCAGCAGGGTGTCAATAACACGTGAACTTGTACAAGTGACATTTGTTACTGGCTCCCTCTATAAACACTATTCACCCAATGAATCAACCCCAGAACCCCTGAACTAACCTTTAAATATGCAATGATGCATTTAAATTTTCCATGAAGCATTTTTTATATACTTATATATAATAAATGTTTCACGTGAAGTAAGTGTCAGTTGCTCTAAGTGTTTTACGCAAAGTAGTTACCACAAATTGGAAGATAATATTTTTTAGGCAAGAGAACAAGTTTTTAAGATTAAGTTGATAAAGAAAAATTAATGGGAAACATAAACATTAGAAAAATGACAACCACATTATCCAACAAACCAACACCAAAAAAAGAATATGAACCAGTGGAAACATTCAAATTTTTACAATCATTCACAGAAGAAACAAATAATGGCCTTTATTTAAATTATGTCTATTTTCCCGAAGAAGTGATAACAATGATCCTCAGTTACGTAGATCCTACAGAATTATTACACGTTTCAGAAGTTTGCAAGAAATGGTGCAACATCATCAAATCTGATACTTTTTGGGCAAATATTTACCAGAGGAAATGTGGTAAAAAACCAAAGAAGTTACCATGGTATGTCTATTACTGCTTTTTCGCAACCAATTATTTTGATATAAATCTCATCAAAAATGGTAATGGTGAAAATGGGTATGACAGTTGGACAATTGTTGTTAATTATGGAGATCAGTTCCGAATAGAAGATCCTCCTTGTGGGGCTGACCCACTTCCTATTGATGTTCCAGAATTTAATGGCAGGACTAGCTGTTTTGCAACATCATACTATGAATGCAATAAATTACAAGAAATTTCACTCGAAAATAATAGGCTTATTCAACTCATTCTTGATAAATTTAAACCTCATATTTATTTAAGTGAGTGGATGGCTGCAAGGTTTGATTGTGGTTGTATTTATAATTTATGGTGTAAACTTTTTGGAAAGAAAACAGAAAACTCGAAACCAGTACAAGAAGCGCATGACACAGAAGTGAATTCAGAGTTAATTGGAGATGAGTTGGAGGATGTTTTTGAAGACGATCAAAGTGAGTTTTATGGAGAAGAACCTTTGCATATTGAGCATGCCTCAAAAAGTGTGGAGCAATGGGCTGGTTCTACATGGATAAAAGTTTGTTAATTCAATAGTTGGTCGCTTTTAATACATTTTTATCTGTTTAGGTTGAAATGGTTGTAAAAAATTATCCCTCAGGAGTAAGAAGTATAGTTTTTCAACATGAAGGTAGAGATACTCAGTTTTGGAAAGGTCACTATGGAAGTAAAATGGCAGGTGGAGTTGTTAAAATATTATTTGATTCAATTGAGCCTTTAATATAGAAGTGCCTTTAAGATAATTTATTATTAATATTATAGAGAACAAAAAGCCTTGCACAAACATAATTTCAGCAAGTGTTACAAGTTCTTAAAAATATAGATATTAACAAATTAAAAAAAAATTTGGCAGTGTTAATAAAATCAATGTAACATAGAGTAAGTTATAAGGGCATTTGTATAAAGATTTAAACGTACTGGATGAATGTTATAAATAAAGCAACATAAACCATTCAGGATGTTTTTAGACAAAAGTGAGTCATGAAAACTTTTCTTCACGTTGGATAAACTGGTTCGTCAATAAAACAGTTTGTGTCAGTGCATGAGATTGCCGTTCACTTGCTTGAAGCTAGTTTGCCACATATAATCATATTTTCAAGTTAAACATTTCTGATTTCTGTCATTAAAATTTAAAATGCCGAAATAGTTATTTAGGATTAGGATTCATGGTCGGAAAATGTATGTTTACGCATTTTACGTTACGAGTATGAGTGGAAATGCGGAGCCGAGACGCCAGTTGAGACGGAGCAACACGAATACTCGCAAAAACATTTTATGGACGTGTGTTCCACGAGCCTTTGAGGGCCAAGTATTTAAATTTGTTTTTCTGGTAATCATTTATTAATGACATTAATGCATGATTGATGTATGAAAACCGTTTATATTAAGGCTCCGTCGGAACGAGTCCGTATCACAGTACAGAGATCATTCAGTAGGGACAACTCGCTATTTTTACTGACCCGTTTTCATGGGTGGTCGTTTGTCTTGTGACCGCATGAGGACGCGCAACGCAAGGTACTTCTCTTTCTTACACATTGGAACATTGAATTGCAGTACTTTGGTTATTTAGTGAGTTTAATGTGAAATATTTGAAATTTGGCAATTTAGTTGTATTGGTTTTGATGGTTTAAGGCTGATCTTCCGGTGTAATTATTGCAGTTAAGTGTACTTTTCATGTTTTGATGGAACCATTGTTTACTATTTAATTTTTTTTGTGAAAAAATTAAATGTACATTAGCGTTTTCTAATAACGTTGAATTTTACAACCATTTACAACCATCATTAATGAAACGTAAAATCATAATCTGAATTTTCAATACGACATCTCTGTTATAGGGTGCTTAATTCATTATTTATTATAATAGACTGTGTGGTTTCTAAGATCAGCTAGTTACAAAATGTTATTGTTATTACATTATTTTTAATTCTTTTCCAAAAATTCATTTGCACAAAGTGTAGTAAATTGAATGATCAAAGGCGCCGACACGAGTTGTCCCTACTGAATAATCTCTATAGTGTGTCCGTATATCCATTTTCTAAATTAGGCAACCCACAATGCAAGTACTATGGGAAGAGTTGAAGAGCTGTCAATCACTAGCCAAGTAGGCTGACCGACCGCATGGGACGGATCTTCCTCAAAATTTATTTAGGAGAAAAGATGAAAGAGATAAATAACAATACCAAAGAAGATAAACAAAATTTGAAATTTTGTTAATTTTCTTTGACAGTAAGAGCAAGTATTTTGGTAGTCGCGGATGGAGCGTGGAGCAAGCAATCGTATAGAAATAATTACAACGCTCTTTTAGGAGTCGCATACATTATAGGTGCTAGAACCAGGAAAATTTTATATGTGGGAGTAAAAAATAAACACTACCTCACATGCACACGTAAAAAAAATAAAATAAGGATAAACCTCATAAATGTTTCAAAAATTGGAACAAGGCCTTTACAGCAATGGAGAGTAGTATTGTCTTAGGGGGATTCCAAAAATTAGTAGAAATGCATGGTTTAATTTATGCAAAAATTGTAGGTGATGGTGACAGTAGTGTTTATAAAAAAATTCGAGACATTAAACCATACGGTCCAAACATCTTTGTGGAAAAAGTTGAATGTCGGAACCACATCTTGCGGAATTATTGCAATTACGAGAACTATTAAAAACGTCTGGAAGAAATATTCATATGCGACAATTTTTGCGTAAGTAATAGGAGTAAAATGTATTTTAAAATTTCGTAGTGTAATTGCACTATGTACAGTATGTGCAGTGTTCGGGTTTCGGTTTTACCCACCAACCGCAACCCTTGTCAACAAGCGTCCCCAAATTTCTCTTCTACCTGTGTATGTACCGCTTCCGAATTTAACCACTTTGTACATAGACTCCGAACCGTCAACAACAAGTAAATACAGTGTTACACAGCACATGTTTGTGTTTCATTTATATCAATCTTTTCGGTACGTATGTATGAGTAATAATCATATATCCAACATGCAGTAGTATTTATTTGTGTAATAATATTTAAAAATTTCTCCCGAAGTGTAGTGCCACAAATCCCGCTTCTTTGAAAAATTAAACAAAATTGATTTTGCGAATTTGTATTCAGTAAAACAAATACAAGAGTATGCTGTTTTATAAAATTTCTACACGATGTTCCTAACATACATATAAAATACAATCGAGATTATCTGTCTAATAAAAATCTGAACAGACGGCACACAGACTGAACCAGGAAACATACCCTATAGTTGATGAAATGTCGCGAAAACATAAACGTAGTTAGTCGCCTTCCGATAGACTCCATTACAATACTTTCTTTGCTTACGCTCAGGAAATAAAAATAAAATTCGCAAAATTAAATTTTATAATTTTTCGAACATTTTGTATTTTATAGAACGTTTACTGCCACAATACCGAAAAAACAGAATATTTGTCGACGCGTTTCGCCAACCACGTTGGCATTATTTCGACAAAGCTAAACTCTGTATTTGAACGGCGAGGGAAGTTGTGTATAAGTAACCCTAGATCACGTTTTTGTTCAACGTTCAGTGATGTAACACACTTTACTTTGCTACAACATCCAGATCACGCTTGTTTACATATTTGGATGAATTGTTTATATGTCTGGGCGCGACGGCGATGGTCACTCCGCTGATAAGTTTCCGGGAGAGACTTTTTTATGCATTCATTAATGAATCATACTTTAGTTTTGTTTTTTATATTCAGTGCTCTTGGGTTCATGAAAGGTCGAGAAAATGTAAAAGTAGACAGTCGGCCGACGGACTCGATTACAATATTTCGCTTACGCTCGGGAAGTAAAAATATGAATGATAAATCAAAAACTCATCATATTTTGCATATTTTGAGCAGAATTTATTTGGCAAAATTTTGAAATGACGTCATCAATTTTTTGGGGGGAATAAATAGATATATTTTGATTAACAGTTTAAACCATGCTTACAATAACTTTAAAAAGTCTGCAATACAGTAGACGCCGCTTAATATGATCACGGTTAATGTTATCAACCGCTTAGTGTGATCAAAATGGCTTGGAACGGTCCCACGCAATACTAATGCATTACAGTTTTTCCGTTTATTGTGATCAATATTTCGCATATTGTGATCAATCTCGCAATTCTTTTACAAACGGGAATTGCTTTTTTGGAGAAGTGAGACGACTGAAACTGGTATTGTGTTCTAATGAATATTCATTGCTTTCAAAAAGTACATTCGCTTATACTAATCACTTTGTACAACCACAATCAGTGACAGTTTTACGTAAACAGTGCGTTTTCGTCTTTTGAACAAACGAATTTTTTCTGTTTTAAATTAGAGGACTTACGTAAAAATGAGCACTTCGAAATAACTAGATCTCAGCTTATTATCGGTGTGATTAAACACTTTGCATATTATCAAAGCAGTTGGAGATCTTAAGCCAGTATGATCGCTCCCATCATGGATGAATCAGCGTAAGGTCGCGGTAACCTTAAAAATTTCTCAGCCAAAGGAAATCGAATGTTCCTTTCTCAGAATGGTAACCAAAATTTAAAATAAATTCTAACGTTTATGTACCTTCATCTACAGCATAATAAGCAGTACGTGTGAACGATTTTATTTTGTTTCGAGGTTTTACTGTCTCTGCTGGTGGTTTTCGCTTATTATTATCAGTCGGTTAGTGTGATCAATTTGTCTGAGTCCCAAAGTGATCACATCAAGCGGCGTCCACTGTATTTCAAAGTATTCAGTTTTGCAATTCTTGATTTATTAAGTAAAATAAATTGACTGATTATTATTTTAGACTGTGTAGCTGGTGGCAGGCAATAAACCCTATTTATTGTAAAGAATCTCTTGCCGTTTTATTTCTTTATTCTCGTGATTTCGCGGAGGCTCACCACCTGAATTCCGTGTCTCCGACTTCAGAGCACCCCGGCGCTCCTCCCCCCGGAGAGGGAGCTGGCGCCCGAGCGACCGCCGCTCCGGACCGAAGGCGCCACCCCCGGCGGCGTGAAGGTCGCCGCATAAGCTTGGTCGACCAGACGTGTTTCTGATATCAGCGATACTAGTCGACCCAAAGCTTGGCACCCAAGTACGCCGCCACCTCATACGTTATCGGCGAGATTCCGGAATTTCGTCGCTATATGTGTCTTGGATATGTTATTGCTGATAAAAGCCGGGCACAGAGACCGAATTATAGCTGATTTAAACGTTTTGTTTACACCGTTGCCATGGAAACCACACGTCTTAGCCATTTCATTCAATTGGACTGCGGTCTCATTCTGAGAGTGCTCGGTAGGAGTAACTCAATCGCAGATTTTAATTTTCATGCTGCGCGAGATAGACGTAAAACTGGTATGATTAATATTCTTGGATAACTTCCTCAGTAATACGGACATTCGGAAATAACTAAACACCGCCTATATTAATACTATTCGGGCACATAACGCAAGGGTCGACAAAAATCGCCATATATTACGCCTATTGATAATGTGCATACATTTTTGTGGAGTGTTTGAATAAGGTGACCAATTATTAAAAATCAAAAACCAGAACACGTGAAATTCAAAAACAGATTTATTGATTAGGTAATCCTAATGATACATGGCATTTCCCATTGCACATCATATATAATATAAAGTACATTCACTAACGTTGTGAATTGTCAGTGTCAAAATTTTTCAAAATTTCTTGGGTGTATGTACCAGCATTTGTATAATTTTTTTCATACTGTACATAAAATCTAGTTACTATTTACTTTAAGGTTATGTATGCCACAATCAAATTCAATCATAAGGTGTTAACGCATTGCAACCAAAATAGATTTTCAAAATTCCTATTAGTTTTTTGTCAATGCGACCAACTAACGACACTTTGACAATTCACAACCTTAGTGAATAAACAATATATATAAATTAATTAGACACATAACTAAATGAGACAAAGACAACGAGCAACAAGCCGTTAAGCCGTTAACTGATAAAAATTCACAACAGTTAAAATTTAAAATGTGAACTGTTGGAGTTTTCAGCAGTTTTTAAAATTTAATACCCGGATCAATATTTATATAAAATAAAATATATTACTCTTGCAGTGTGTGTTCCATCTGTCCTATCAGAACACTTTACAAAAACCAGAACATTTACAGGTTTTGACAACGAAAAATTTTACCCAGAACTGAAGTCCGAAAAAACAGTACTGTTCTGGAAAAAACAGTACGGTTGGTCACCTTATGTTTGAACTTACTCTACGTGGACATGACGAAAGTAGGGAACCACAAAATCCAGGTATATTTCGACGTCTGATTGATTTTACGGTTGAATTAGACTCTAAAACTGTCCGAAATGAACTTTTAGATGCCATCAACGTAAAATTTTGACCGAAGGCAAACAGGTATGTGGAGGTGGACACATACTTTTTTTCACTAGCAGCCATGAAGCATGCAAATGTCGACTTATTTAGAGGTAGTAAATTCAACTTTTGGGACCACGTGTTCAAAAAGAAGATTGAGGTTATGTACGTAATACTTAATGTGATTATTTCTTAAAAAATGAATAAATTTGTGCTACTAACATTACTTGAGTATACGCGTGGTAGTTGGTAGACGGTGGAAGATAAAATGATTCATTCAGCGACAAGTGTAAACGGTTTTCTTTGTGTTGAAGATTTGGATCAAGTTTGATTAGAAATCAAAACAAAATCATGTTGCGTCAAAAAATTGAACGTTTATTTTTTCAATTTATTGTCTTATGGTTTCTACTAGTGAAAAAAATAGTATATTAACCACGGTTGCAAAGCCACTTCTAGACCTCGCGCTCAGTGGCGTAGCTAACTTCCACTGCGCCCCCCCCCCCCGCAGTTTATAGTAAGCGCCCTCATACACCAAATTTAAAAATCAATATAAATATGTACTTACTCGTTTGTACATTTTAAAAAATATATCGGTTACGTTACGGTCTGCGCCCCTTTTGGCACTGCGCCCCAGCCCCGTAGCTAGAAAACTTATTCAGGGGGGGCAAGTTTGTCGACAGAGGGGACTGCATGTAAATATGTATACAGTGTTGGGCAGTATCTAGACACTTGTATCTAAATAAAGCATCTAGATACATTTTTGGGTATCTAGTATCTGTATCTAGATAAAATCGAATTTAAGCACAAAATATCTGTATCTAGATACAAAATTAATGGCGCAGATACACAGACATTTTTTTATTTCACTTTTTTTCAGTAGTTATTAGTTGAGTTATACTAGTAGTAATTTTTGATACTTCATGTTGGTGATTTTGGTCACAAACAAAAATAGAGGTAAGAGGTCCACTAATAGTGTTCTGTCACAGAAATTTTCGTATTTTAAATACCATCATTTCCTACATTGTAGCCTTCAGTACTTATACATCTTTAAATATAATCCCGAGGGGTAATAAATCTAAGCCATGGTATGATGGTATTTTAAAAACCATAAACCACAATTCACTATTCACTGCGTTTTGCGCTTATCGGGGCAATGCATTTTATCTGTGTACCTGAGCAACCTGGGTCCGGTAGGCCAGCTGGTTGTATTTGTGTTATTAAATAAGAGTAATTTTAATAGTAAAAATATTTGTTTAAGGTATGTTATTATTTTTAGAAAATAATAATTGCGTGTTACATAATGATTAATTTTTTCAATTAGCACAAATTAGTTCTGTAATCGACTAATCGAATGTTCAATACATACATTTCTCTCGCATAAATCGCATATTTGTTACTGTTTTATACCTTTATTTATCAGACAAATGTAGCATCTTTTTCTGTTGTCACATATGTCATTTCTTCACTTTTTCATTGTTGGACCTAACGCGAGGCGGGCTTGGTAGGTCCGTTTTTCCCTAGAATGTGCCGATTATGTTTAAGTGTAAATCTTGGGCAATAAAATTGATATTTTTACAACCCTCGGTAGAATAATTTATCATGATATATTCTCAGAAATCGTAAAACGAGATTAAAATAAAATGAGTTTCAACAAAAATCTGAGAATTTAAAGTTGCACTCTGGTGATTTCGACCTGCCAGGCAGCCTTTGATACTATAAGATACTACCTTTCTAAGAAATTGTACTTATTTTGCCTTAAACGGAACCAGCAATTCTTCCTAAAATGTATATACCTGCCGCACCGGGATAGACGATTACCGGACATGGTCATAAAAACATCGTAAGCCGATATTGAAGAATAATAATTTATGACAGGTTGCCGACAACAGACCTTCACCACAGAATAATCATTTCCTGTATTCTTTTGAAATATTAATTTTGTATGTATGGGAATAAAAACAAAAAAAAAATTCTTTTTAAGCGTACGTAATAAACTAATAAATATTGCACAATTCGCGACACATTAAAGCAGCGAAGCGCTGGCCTATTTGCAGGAAAAAAGGAAAGATTTTTCAGTCTTGAATAACTATGCTACAGTAAAATGTTTATTTTTTAAATTTGATACCACAATCCCTTGTTCTGCACCTGTGGAACGGGTGTTTAGTATCGGAAACAAAATTGTGACACCAATAAGAAATAATTTATGTGACAATACCCTCGAAATGTTGTTAATTTTAAAAAAATCATTAAACAATACATAAAAAAATACATAAACATGTTTTCAGTTATTTTGTTCGCCAAAGCTTCAAAAAGTATCTGTTTTCTTGTATTTGTATCTAGATACATTTCGAAAAAATCGAAAACAATCTGTATCTAGATACTTTTATCTTCCATATATCTATATCTGTATCTAGATATTTTTAAAAGTATCTGTCCCCAACACTGTATGTATATATATTTTAATAATACACTCAGATAACTACTTTATTTGAAGAAGCATTAAAATTAGTGTAAACGTCGATTTTTTACGCTATTAAATTTTCGTAAAAACCTGTCGAAGTCCAAAGAATTGGTACGGTACTTTTCAAAAGCCAGAAAAACCAAGTTTGCCAATCTTTGAAGCATCATTGGATGCGCCGGGAGATCTATTCTGGTTAAAACAAAGAATGTAAATTCACAAACAACTGTACTGCATCCAAAAATTCGTGCAGTGGCCAATAACACTAGGTAACAACCAATTTGTTTGAATTTATTTTTTTTGTATGTTTAGTAGTAGGCTATGGAATAAAATGTGACATGACAGTTCGTTCTTTTATATGGTCAACATCAACGTTAGGGTGATATTGCCAAATAACATACCCTGTAAGAAAATAAAGGGCGCGTGGGTGGGGCTAGCAAATATGCTTCGGAAATCGGCATTATATTGAAATTTTATTATTAATTTAAAATTTATAATGTGTAAGTCTTCCAGGGGGGGCAACCACAACTGCTAGGGGGGGCTAAGCCCCATCTTGCCCCCCCGTAGCTACGGGGCTGCTGCGCCCCCCGGCATTGCGGGGTCTGCGGGGGTGCTATTTACGCCACTGCGTCGCGCTTCAGAGCTCTCGACGCTGCGCGTCTCGGGTTCTAATTTGCGCTCGGTCTAGTATGCTTGGCTTTGCAACCTTGGCTCAGGGCCGCCGTAAGCGGGGGTGCAAGGTGTGCACCGCACACGGGCGCTGCCAAAGGGGGGCGGTAAATTGCCACGCAAAGCAGCACTTTTCAAAATTCCCAAAATAATATAAAAAATGTACAACTCGAAAAAAGGGTTTATTGAGACTTTGGGAGAAAGCATAGAAAGAAATATTGTTTAGGTCATCCAGTCATCGATAAATCAATAAACATCTGTTTTTTATAGTGCATGGTGAACAAACTTATAGATCGGTAAAGCATAAAGGAATAAGTTTCCAGAATTGCGGGTGTTGTTTGTCGGAACGTCAACGGGGATGTTAGCAATAAATTAAATTATTTTAGTAATTCACAGAAAGGTGTTAAAGAACATTGCTCCAAAAATTAGTTGGTGTCCGAGCTGGCAAATGCAACAAAGTTGTTATTTGCACTTGTAGTTTGGACGATAAATTTATTTTATTTATACGTATCACATTTGCAAAATCTTTGATGATTTGCTGGAAATATCCGAAGATACTTCTTCATGGTAGTTATTTGTTCAACGATAATTTGATTTGATAAGTATTCTGAATCAAATCAACATCTTAACTAAAATGATGCAGAATCCTAATATCAACATCAAAGTATATATCAATTTACTTAAAGATGTAATGGGTTACTTTACCAAATATCGTTCAGATGAAAGTTTTGCTAAAATTATACCTGAAACAGACAAACTTGCCTATGAAATTAATGTTGAACCACTTTTTCCGCCAATCCAAACCGTGCGTCCAAGAAGAAAACCGAAACATTTTGATCACAAGCAGAATTACGAAGTTGTAGATCCAAAAATTAATTTTAAAATAATTTTTTTTACCGAATTCTGAACCAAACTTTGTCTTCAGTTCTCAGAAGAAGACATGTTAAAAAACTGTAAAGATTTACATTTAAAACTTGCAGTTGATTCCCTTGGTGAGGTCGACATTGTCGTATTTAATAAGATTAAAGCTTTAAAACTGCACTCTTCAGCTATACCGTTAGAAGATCCCCACTAAATTTCACGTATTGGTGTGAAAACAATTTAATCTCAACTTTTCCGATACATCAATAGCATTAAGAACTTTGCTTACACCACCAGTTTCGGTTGCATCTGGCCAGCGATCCTTTTCAAAATTGAAAATAATAATAAATTATCTCAGATCAACCATGAGTCAAGGCAGGCTAAGTAACTTATCTATTGTTGCAACTGAACATGAACTGTTAGACAATTTGGACATAAAAAAATAGTTGCAGAATTTCCCAGTATGAAATCTAGAAACATTCATTTGGTTTAGTAAAAAATATTTAGTTATATTATTTGTATGCTTTAGGTTTTTCCGTTTCTTTTTTTTTGTATTCAGTCATATTATATGGATACATATGTATTTATGTTTTTTATTAGCAAAATAGATTTGTGTTCGATAAAGGTATTAGTTTGTTTATTTTATACGAAATAAATTTTAATTTTAACGTTTTACAGACTGGCCCTTAATTTTCCACTAATTTTAATACAATTTTTACTTAAAAAATCTTATCTATATTGAAGAGGGGCGCTAAATTCAAACTTGCACTCGGGCGCCAAAAGTTCTAGCGGCGGCCCTGCCTTGGCTAATAATATACTATTTCAATTTCGTCACTATTTTGGCATTGACATGTTTGTCATTTTTTTTCTGTGATTGCTATGATTGCTTATTAAAAAAAAAAAATGGACGATGTCATCTCTGGGGTGTATAATATGTTGCCTATGCAAAAATTGTCAGGCGTGAACAGATAAAATGAACAGCCTGTATTGTTTTCTCAGTCTATTACCCATTATTGTATCTTGTCTTGTCAATTTTTTTATAAATAATTCTTGACACTTTGACACTCTAATCAACATGCTACCAATGGTATTTGTTCTAAAATATCTCTGATTTAAAAGAAAAAATAAGAGATATCCTCATTCTGTCACACCCGTGACATGGATTTACTGAAAAACTACTCCCAAAACAGCATTGCAGACTGCGAGTTAAAAATGATGCAGTCAGGTTAAAAATTTTT